GATTTATTCACGAATTGTTAATTAAATCTTTTAGATCGGTCTTGTAGGTTCCTTCATTTCATTTATAACTTTATCAATAAGTTTATATTGATTTTCAAATTTTCCCAAAAATAAAATATCTATTTTAAACAATACATAAAAAAATTTAATATGCGAGTGTATGTATGTACTTCTTAATTCAATTTCGTCACGTAGCAGTGACTACATATTTTAGTTATTCATCTCTTTCGTCTATTTATTATTATTATAATACGAATTATCATGAGGTTATTTAGTTTTTTAAAAAATTTAAAATTTTATCTCGCATTAATTGGTTTCCTTTTTATCCTTTTTTACTAATAGTAATATCCCAACATCAGCATTAACAACAACAACAATAATATCAACACCACAATTGTCAACATCAAATGATTTGACACCAAATACTAAAAAGAAGAAAAATAACAATAACATTGGTAATTAATAATGCTAACCGATCGTAAAACAATTTATTCATAATATTAAATAGTAAAATAACAATAAATTTTGATTGATTATTATCATTATAATTATCAAAAAACACAGTAACAAATGAAGTTAATGAGGAATTAAAAGTGGAAATTAGAGAAGCTTTTGAATTATTTGATACAGATAAAGATAATGCATTGGATTTTCATGAATTAAAGGTAATAATAAGTCATTATTATTATTATTATTATTATTATGACGATTTAATCACAACAAATTCTCTATTATTAATTCACTAACAATTTTTATTTCATTCTTCCATTCTTAAACAAGGTAACTATGCGAGCCTTAGGATTTGATGAAAAAAAACCTGAAATATTAAAAATTATACGTCAACATGATAAAACTGGTGAAGGGCTTATTTCATATGATGATTTTTATAAAGTTAGTGAGTATTTTTCTTTTTTTAGTCTATTATCATTTATATAGAAAATATAAACATAAATCTATTTTCATCTATTGATATATATATTTATTAGTGTCCAAATATATAAATACAGATGTGTATTATTTTACACCAGTGACAACCTTGGAGAATTTATCAATGTCTGGATATACAACAAATCCTGTTTTGCCTGTCTCATTTCTTGCTCATAAAATATTATCTTTCTCCCCATCTTCTTTCGAAATATAGAAAATATTTTGAATCCCAAAACAGAAACGTATGATGTCAGTTTAAAGAAGTATATAAGGTAAAAAAGTTTTGATATTACTATAGCTGATTTAATCAAAATTTAAAAATACATCATTTATGCTATATTATTTTATTAATAATAGCAATTATTCAGATGCAGGTTTTTCTCTATTACGGGGCAACATATCAAAATCACCTATTTTCAATTTCAATAATTCATATAAATAAATAAGTTGAAAAGCCTTAACCTTAAAAAGATTATTTCTATTAAAAATAAAATTATTTACCATCGGTTGTGTCAGTGTTCATTGCTTTAATCCAATCGATTTCTATACTAAAAGGACCGTGTTGATCCAATATACTAATCCCAACAGTTTTAACCTTTTCACGATACATTGCTATCTGTGGTTCTTGTATTATTCCATGATTTGTCAAAATAAAATCTCTAAATGGAATCTTTTGAGAAAAAGAGAAAGTAAAAATATTAATCAATCAATCAACCGATCGATCAATTAATTAATTATAAAAAGAAGATAAAATTTACCATGACAGTTTCCCAATCACCGGGTTTTCTTAGGAATAAGCGATGTTGAAACAAATCAGTTTGAACTGGACCATCAGTTTGCAAGTTTATATAATATTTTTTATAATCTCCTTTTACTCTTAATGCTAAATATCTAAATAAAGTTGTATCCCACATTGGCGTACCAAATATTGTAACTCCACGAACCTATAAAATTGCCCAAATTTTATTGTCAACATTTCTGTTAATATTACTTGATATTTATATCCATATAATCGTAAGATTGCTTACCTTTGATCTAATAGCAGCATAACCACTTTTTTCATATTTATAATTTGGTGGTAGATCAAGTGATACATAACCATGAAATCTACCTTTATTTTCAGGAGTAATTTCTAATTTTGCCTCTGATAGACCTTTATTTAAAATACACATTATATATGTATGTATATGTATATGTATATATATATATATATTCCCCCACAAAACAAAAAAAAATAAAGAAATAGACAAATATATAATATGTACACGTATGTATAATAGTTTTTTCTTTAAATAAAAAAAATCATGTTGTGTATCTA